AAAAAAAAAAAAAAAAAAAAAAAAAAAAACATTACGTACATGTATATATATAATTTATATTTTTTAATTAAAATCGATATGCAAAAATTATATTTACATGTTAATATGCCTATGCAAATATGATTTTCTTATTTTGTTTCTTATATTTTTGCACAAATTGTTTTATAAAATTTTTGTCTATTTCATTAGAACTTTTTTTAAAGTAAATTTAATTATATTAAAGAACAAATAGGGTATAATGAATTGAAATTATTCAATAATTCTTGTATATATATATATATATATATTCATAATTTGATATATTAATAAAATTCATAAATTTGTAAAAAAATAAAACTAGTTAAAATATAATAATTATGCAGTATTAATATAAAAAATGCCCTTAAAATTAATGAAGTTAAATCAAGTATATAAGTGCCAGGAATTTTAAAGAAATAAAAAACATAATAAAAAGAAATAGTTAAATATTATAAAGATTTGAATTATATAATTTTTGTTAATACTACTATTATTAATTTTTAAAGGAATTAGATATAGACATATATATTTTATTAAATAGAAAACAATTTAGAATAAAGAAGAGATTTCATATATAATTTTTATGTATACGATTAAATGTAATAAGAACATAATCTCGGAAATTATAACCAAAAATTATATTTATACATCTTAAAAAAAAAAGTCATTGTAAAAATACAGAAAATAAAATAGGTTAATTTAATTATATACATACGTACATATATACATACATATATATATATATATATATATATATATATATATATATATATATATATATATATATATATATATATATATATATATATATGTATATGCATGAATGTATGTGTATAAAATGGCAATAAATAAAAGAGAATACATTAAAAACTATGATGAAATATATAATTTTAAAAATATAAATAAGGATAAAAAAATAAACTTCGAATATAGAGACAATGACATTGTTTGTATAAATATTTCAAATAAAAAATATATTTTTTTATATAAATGTGCTAAAAAAAATATAAATAGTAGTAGTGGAATTATAAGCAACAAAATAATTTATACACCAAAAAAAGGTATAAATATTGAAGATTATTATAAAAAAAATATTTTTAAGAATACAATATTAAAACATAATTCAATGAAGTGTAAAAAGAATAATAAAATAAGTATTTATTTAGTAAAATATGATAATAATTTTAGTCTCCAAAAGAAATTAAGCAATATTAAAATATGTGAAAAATATAAAAATTATAATTATGAAATGTGTTCAGGAATAAGCAAAATAAAGAAAAAGTTAAATCATTCTAAACATACGAAATTTTGCAATCTATATAATGAAGATGATAATAGAAATATTTGTAACATACTCAAACTATTACAAGATAGAAGAAAAAAAAAAATAATAATATATAAAAAAGACCTACGAGATAAATCAAACCTCTCAAAAAAGGAGATGTTAATAAAATACATATATAATGAAAATAACATAAAAAGAAATAATTATAATGCATATAATGTTATTAAAGAATTATCAAGTGCAAACAATGAAAAAAATATTATTAAGTTAATTAAATTCACCAATAATGTTTCAGATAAAAAATTAAAAAAAATAATATTAGATTCAAAATTCAAAGAATTAAAAATAGGTTCATATATCGATCGAAAAATTTATCATTTGAGATGCCAAATAAAAAAGAAAATTAAAAAATTGAAAGAGTTATTAATAAAAAAAAATATAGAATATTATATTCATAATAAACATTATAATGATGAATTTGATAAATATTCTTGTAATATAATAAAAGATATAAGTAATGACAATGAAATATATATAAAAAATGAAGAGAAAAATAAGAAAAAAAGTGATGTAAATATTCATTTTAAAAGAAAGATTAAAAACTATATAAAGAATTATATAAAAAGTCATTTAAACAAGAAATTCTTGAAACGAAAAAGTGTTAAAAACTACAAAAGTAAAAAGAAGAAAAAAAGAAAAGATAATAATTTTATTATTCATATAATTTTTGATAATATACCTATTAATTATAATACTTATTATTCATATGTAAAAAATTATGTAAGAAAATTCTTTAATTACTACTTTTATATTTTATTTAAAAAATTTTTAAATTATTATATTTCTATATACATAAAGTATTATTTTAATTATGTTGGGAATAAAAAAAAAAATGACTATAACAATATTTATAATAATTATAAATATTATCATTACAATTTTGTTAATTGCAATAATATTAATGTAGGAATGGTTTACAATGTTATCTCTAATCAAGACAAAAAAAAAATTCTTATTTTAAATAATAAAAGTAATAATGAAGAAAAAATTAATGTTAATAATGTTGATATTTCCTTTTTTTCTAAGATTGCAAAAAATAATAATAATAATAATAATATTAATAGTATTGAGAACATAAGAAATGAAGATATAATTAACATAATAAATACTTATAATAAAAGATTTGAATATCAATATATTAGTAATAGTTATTTTAATTATAAGGAAAAAGAATTTATAAATGGAAATGAACTTGTTAATAAAATAAACGATTTTAAATATAATAATGCAAAAGACATTGATAATAATATTAGTTGTAATTATAATAATAACAACAATATTAATAATGATAATTATTATAGTAATTATGATGGAATAAATAGTAATGATAATAATGATAATGATAATAATAATAATAGCAGTAATAATAATAATAATAGTAATAATAATAATAGCAGTAATAATAATAATAGTAATAATAATAATAGCAGTAATAATAATAACAGTAATAATAATAATAGCAGTAATAATAATAATAGTAATAATAATAATAGTAATAATAACAATAATAATAATAATAATAATAATAATAATAATAATAATAATAATAATAATAATAATAATAATAATAATAACAACAACAACAACAACAACAACAATAATAATAATAATAATAATAATAATAATAATAATAATAATAATAATAATAATAATAATAATGATGATGATGAGCATGATAATAATGATAATAATAATAATAATGATAATAATAATAATAATAATAATAATAATGATGATAATGATGATAATGATGACGATAATAATAATAATATTAATAATACTAATGATAAGAATAATATTAATGATACTAATGATAATAATAATATTAATAATACCAATGATAATAATAATATTACTAATACTAATGATAAGAATAATATTAATGATACTAATGATAATAATAATATTAATAATACCAATGATAATAATAATATTACTAATACTAATGATAATAATAATAATAATAATATTAATAATACTAATGATATGAATGATACTAATGATAATAATAATATGAATAATACTAATGATAATAATAATATTAATTATACTAATGATAATAATAAAGATAACAGTAATAATAATAATTACATTAATAGTAAGTTTAATATAAAAAATGATAATTTAATAAATGATATCAACACAAATATTCAAATATGTGAAAATGGTAAAATAATTTATGATGAAGAAGGTAATTTAAAGAAAAACAATAATATGATAGAAGAAAACAACATTAATCATAACAATAACAAAATTAGTTCGCATAGTAGTAATAATAATAATAGTAATACTAGTAGTTATAATACTACTACTACTAATAATAATGAACATGAAAATTACTATAAATTAATAAAAGAAATAAAAATTTTGGAAAAAAATGAAAATATTAAAGAGGGTTTGGATAAAAAAAAAAATGAATTTGATGATACTATTATATGTGAAGAAAATAAATTGAAATTGTTAGGTGTTGAAAAAATAAATATGAAATCGGAAAAATTGATGATAGAAAAAGATTATTCTAATTTAAAAATAGATAAATCAGTAAATGATGAAAACCATATTCTAAATGTTAATCAAAATATAATACAAACATCAAATTATATTAATCATCCATTAAAATTACCATTATTACCTGAAATGAGTCATCCAAGTTCTTTTTCATCATCCCAATCTCCACGTTCTAACAACATATGTAGTAGTAATAAAAATACTACACCTAAAAACACTTCTAATCAATTAAATGATCCTGATTTTGAAGAAGCATGTGATATTAGATTAATGAATTCCTTAGAAAATATGAAATTTTCACAATCTCCTCCAACGAGTTCATTGCATGCATCTTGCTTGCATTTAACAGATGTGAATGAATTAGTTTTATCACCAAATCAGCAGATGTATTCTAATAGCCCAATAAAATCACCTAATACCCCATTAACACCAACTTCCCCAAATTTTGAATCTAATTCTAATGAAGAAAATTTAGAAAAAGTTAATTCTAACTATTTAATTTCCTCTCCTTATAGAAATGATATTTTTTCTGAATTTGACATGCTTAGTTCCTTTTTTGAATCATTGGATGATCTAGAAAACAAAAGTGATTATACGGAAAGTAGTGGCAATGAAAATATTAAATATAACAATGAATTTTCTTTAGATGTATATGGAAATAAAATAAAAAAAGATAATATGCAAAAAGATGAAGTTATTTATAATTTTAAAAAAGATAATTCAAAAAAAGTTTTTCATGCTTGGTGTAATAAAGGAAAACATGAATTAAACTATGATAATAAAAAATTCAATTCAGTAATGGAATGGATAAATTACATAGAAGAATTAATGTCTCATGAAGAAGGAACAAGTAAGAGTATAGATGAAAAGGTAAACATTAGTGCAACAGAAGATTTCTTCAATGATCAAAATAACTACAGTAATGATGACAATATAGATAAGGATAATAATAATTATGTTAAAAGTAATAACAGTAATGATAATACTACTGGTATTTTTATGAGTAATAATTATTCAAGTAACCATGATATTACCACTAGTAATAATGATTATAATAATTTAGATATGGACAAAAATATTAATAATGAAAACTATACTGAAGATAATATAAATAAAAAAACAAAAATTAATGATAGCAATCATATAAATGAAATTTCTTCAGAAGTCCTTAACTCAATAAATAACTCCTCTAGTTATAATAATTTAGATGTTAACAATTTTGAAAGTAAACAAAACTTAATACCAGAATATAACAATGCTGAAGATCATGTTACTTATAGTAATGAAATAAATAAAAATGAAGAGGATTATTTTCAAGATCCATCATTAAATAATAAAAAGATATTAAATGACCCTTATACTAGTTTTATATGGAATGATGATATAAATGAAAGAGATGATTATAATGACGAAACGAAATTTTTAACAATTAATAATAAAGATAATGATTTTGATATTAATACTGTTGAACAAATAAATCATCAAACTCATGAAAATACAAAGGATAATGTAACTTCATCAAATTTTATAGAAGTAACGGATCCATGGAAAAAATAGTATTTTGTTTTACTTATCTAAATTTTATTTGGACTTAATATCTTTTACTTTTTATATTTCAAATTATCCTTCTTTTTATCTACCCTTTTTTTTTTTTTTTTTTTTTTTCGAGTTCCTTAATTTTTTTTTTATACCTTCATTTATAGTATTAATGTTATGTGTATTATTTTAATTTATATTTTTTTATGTCCTATATATATATATATATATACATATATATATATATATATTACATTATCATTATTCATTTCATTTAATTTTTATAATCTTATTATATACATCATTATTTTTATTTGAAACATTATAAGTTTATGAATTAATATATTTAAAATAATTAAATATATTTGAATTTGTAATTAAATATTAATTGCTACTCGTGAGTTTTTTTTTCTTTTTTTTTTTTTTTTTTTTTTTTTTTTTTTTTTTTTTTTTTTTTTTGTATTATTTTCACAAAAATTTAAAAGATTGTAGATTTAAGAAAAATTAAATAATTTAAACATTTTAAAAAAATTAAAGGCATTTTTTGTCTCATTCATAATAAATTCTTTTAAAAAGTTGTATAACCAAGATGAATAATTTTCATTAATTTCTTACATTTTTCTATTCTGTCTATAATAATTTTATATATTATTCAATATATTTTAATTATTTCTATTAAAAAGTATTTTTATTATTTTTTTTTTTTAAATAATAATAGTATTATGTATATACAGAGTAATTATTGTTTTATTTTTCTTTTTGACCTTTTTTTAAATGAGTTATTTAATGAAACTTCTTTTTTTTACACATAAGGAACATGATTTTTTAATTCTAAGATTTTATATTGTAAATATAATAATTCTTTTTAAAATAATATCATAAAAAAATTATTTTAAAGTATCCTATTGTTATAATTGGTATTACTATTATTATTCATATTTTTCATTTTGCTTTTGTAAATACTTTTAAATAAATTTGTACATTCATTTTAAAAATACTATTCTTAATATCATATATATATGATGATTATTTTATGTTGGTAATAATTGAATGATCTAATTTTTATAAATTCAAATTATTTGAATTAAAAAAATATATAATATGTTTGATGTAAAAATAAAGTAAAAAGACATAAAAGTTAAATTTAATATAAATAATAAAATGCAAAACAATGAACATTTTAAGAAGTATGGTTATATTTGTTCTCTATATTTCTTAAATAATGTTAAATAGGATAGAATTTAAGTTTCTTTTCTTTTTTTTTTTTTTTTTTTTTTATTTAGAAAAGATATTGATCTCTCAGATGTGAAATTAGAAAAATTTAAAAAAGCAGCATTTGAAGTTATTGAATATAAAGATAAAATTATAAGAATGCTATGTGCTATTTTAGAAGTACAGGGAACTACTACACTAAATATTAAAGAATTTATTTCTAGTAATATTATTCTTTTCAAAATTCAAATAAAAGTTCATTATAAAATATGTTTTGTTTCTTCTGAATAATTATCATTTTATATTATAAACTATCTATTTTCATTAAATTATTAAATGACTAAAAATAAATATATATATAGATGCTACAGATGTAACAAACGATAATCTATTTATGAACAATGAATATGAGTAATATATAAAAATAAATAAATAAAAATAAAAGTAACATATGCTCATTAATAATAATAACTGTTAATAAAAAGTAATTTACAAATTTTTTTATATATATAGATTAAAAGCAAATAAAAAAAAAACATCATCTAGAAAAAGAACAGTAAGAGTAAAAACAATATATATATATATATATATATATATATAACATATTTCTAATAAAATCATAACACTTATATTTTTTTTTAAGTTAATAAATATTCCTGATTTTAGAACTATAAAAAAAAACAAAGAACTAAATTTATTTTCTACACCTAATAAGATAAATGAAGAATTAAATAAAGAAAATCATTTCTCTGATTCTATTCTAAGCTCTTATAAATTATCTTTAAAAGAAAAGAATTATGAAAATAAAATAATTGATAATGTATTATTAAAAAAATTTATATATTTTAAAAATTTTTTTTTATTATTAATATAATGTAAATTTGTGAAACTTATCATTGTTATTTTTTATTTTAAACACAAAAAGAATTTTTTACAATTATTTTGGAGAAAAATAAAATTTTTTTTTTTTCCTTTTTTTTCTTTCATGAATGAAGAATTTGAAATGTAATTTTTCAGAGAAAAAAAGTAATTCACAATATTTTTCTTGAATGAAATTTTAAAATTTCTATGATAATTTCTTTTATCTGTTTCTAAATGTTGTTTTGTAAATTTCATTTTTCTTTTTTTAATAGACCTTCAAGAACAAATTGTTAATAGTTCGCAAAAAAAGAATGAAAACAGTTGGAATACTTTACAAAAAAAGAATGATGGATTCGTTAAAAATATTCTTGAAAGTGTATAAAAAAAAAAAAAAAAAATGAAAAGAATATTCAAATTTTTTATTTTTTCTTTGTGTCCAAAAAGTATTTATATATAAATAATATGTTTATTTTTATATTTTCTTTATAAAATTTTAGCATAGAAAAGCTTTAGAAAATTTCCGAAACAACGAAGCTAATTTTGAATGCACATATAAATCAGATTCTCAGATGGATATAAAGACATCAAAGAATACACCAAAAATAAAAGAAACAATTAATGAAGAATGTCAATTAGTAAATATATATATATATATATATTTTTTATTTTATCATTTTATTAATCAATTTAATTTATCATCTTTTGTTTTTCAGTGCTTAATGCCAAATACTGAATCTTTGCATGGAAATTTCCCACCAATATTTTATAAATTAAATTGTGGTATATATAAATTTTCTTTCATTTTAAAATTTAATCATAACTAAATATATATATTTTTTTTTTTTTTTTTTTAAGATCACGTTTTTCATTTAATGTGTCTTTATGAAATAATAATACGCAGGGAATGTAGAAAAGTAGTAGAAATAAAAAAAAAAAAAAAAAAAAAAAAAAAAAACAAAAAATTACTAAATAAACAAATATATATTTATTTTGATTCTTTAAGCCATTAATAACATTAATTAATTAAAAAAAAATAAAATAAAATAAAAACAAAAGTAGAAATTATTTTAAAAATTAAATCAATATTAAAAAAAAAAAAAAAAATACTATACATTTTATATATATATAAATTTTTTAATTAAAAATATTATTTTTAAAAAATAAAAGAAAATTAAATGTATAAATATATGATGTATTTTTTTTTTTTTTTTTTTTTATTTGTAATAGACTTGTTGTATTTGTCACAATGAATTAGATGAAGAAGATAAAGATAATATTATAAGAAGAGTAAAAAGAGAGAAAAAAGAAAATGATAAAAAGAGTAAACTTTTATTTAAAGTTATGAAATTGCAATCTAACAACAAGAATCAAAAATAACATTTTTTATAAATGTTTTTTAATCAAATTAATTAAATCACTACTTGATGTATAATGATCCTTTCTTGCTAACACTACATTATTTTTCATTATAATAATTGTTGGTAAATATACTACTGAATATTTTTTTGCTAATTTTTTATATTCATCCAAATTAATTCTAAACAAATTTATTTGTTTCCCATAAAATTTCTCTAATTTATCCTATTTAAATAAATTTCATAAAAATATATATATATATATATATGAATTAATATTCATTTTGTTATATATATATATATTTTTTTTTTTTTTTTTTTTTTATATTTTATTTATTATATATGAAGTTTTTTATAATTTTGTTTTTTTTATTTGAAGTTTTTTATAATTTTGTTTTTTTTATTTAATACCATTTCACCGCTTTGCATTGAACAAGCAGGACACCTAAAATTAAAAAGTGAAATAAAAAAATAAAATATTTGATCATAAAAAATAAATTAATAAATAACATAAAAATGTAAAGATATTTTTAAAAAGAATTTTTCACATGGTTACCATTTTGCATAGAAATACAAAATAATAACTTTGTTTTTTGTAGATAATCCCTATATAAAAAAAAAAAAAAAAAAAAAAAAAATTATAATATTTTGGTTTTAATAAAAGGTTACACTTATATTGACAATTTACACAGATGCATAATATAAACAAAAATAAAATTTGAATCATTGAAAAATTTCAAAATATTTCACATAGTAATAAAAGATAATGAATAAAATATTATTTTAAAATAAATCTTTTATAAATAAATATGTAAATATATCTATCTAAATAAAACTTACATTTAATGAGTTCTTTACATTTTCCAATCTCGCTACTCTTTTGAATAAACGTAAATGATATTTATCATATTTATTTAAAGGAGTTAATGGATCCTCATTTATAAAAGATATACTTTTAGTACATTCTACATCCACGAAATAAAGAAAATTAATAAAAAAAAAAAAAGATAATAATATAGTAAATTTCATTATGTATCAAACTTGAAAAAAAAAGGTTTAAAAAAAATTAAAATTTAACTTTTATTTAAAAAAAAAAAAAAAAAAAAAAAATTAAATCTCATTGTTCATGAACAAGAAACATATATATATATATATATATTTTTTACAATATTTTTTAAATTTACATAATATAAAAAAAAAAAGTAAAAAAAAAATTAGTAGAATTTAAAATAATATATAAATTTTTTTTTTTTTTTAAATTAACTTTTATTTTTTTAAATTTTTTTATTGAAGTAGATGTATACTTTTGCAGTGGCGTATTTAATACATGCAATAAAAAATTCTTATGTTCGCTAAGAAAAAACTTTTAACATTGGATTTTAAATAAAAATAATTACTTTTCTATATATATATATTTTTTATTAATAATTTAAAACAAATTGTATAATTCGTAAAAAAAAAAAATTTTTATTATATATATTTTTTAAGAGTATCTATAAAATTAAACAAATTTCTAAATAAAAAATGACATCCTTTTAATGAACATTTCAGTTGATTAAATATTTATCACATGGTAACTATTTAAAAATAGATGTATTAAAAGATTTTGGTAAATTTAAATATTAGTTATCCTAAACATTTTTTATTTGTATCTTGATATTTTACATCCATGAGAATTTAAAAACTTATATAATTAAATGAAATAAATTTTTTTTTTTTAAAGTGTTGTTTAAATTATATATAAAGTTTAATAATAAGGCAACTTTAAAAGTTAGTTGTTTACTTTCTGTTTGTAAATTTATATATATATATATATATTTATTTATTTATTTATTTATTTATCTATTTTAATTTTATTTAATTTATTGTTATATATTTTAATTTTTAAGTGTTAAGGAAATTTATATATAGAAATTATAAACTTATCTTCCTTAAATATTTTCTTTTTTTTACGAAACATGCAACTGTGAACAGATTAAATAATTTTAAAATATTAAATGAATTATTCTACATTATAAAAATAAAATATTTTTTAATCTAATTATAGGTTATTAATATAAACTTAAAAAAAAAATTTAATAAAAGATTTTTTATAAAATAAAAAAATTCCTTATATGCTCTAACAAAAATTAAATATACATTAAATTCTTTCTTATAATTCTAATGTTTTATTAAAAAAAAAAAAAAAAAAATACAAAAGAAATATATTAAAAATATTTATATATATTTAATATGGGAATATGTAACATCTGTATTAATTGAAAAAAAATATTTCTTAAAAAAAAATGAATCCCAAAATAAAATTAGTAGGTTATCTTTTATATATAATTATATTCTTTCATATTTAATTATTTGTAAATATTTTTGTATATTATTTTAAAATATCTAAAACTTCAATAGATACTATTCTTTTGAAATGATTTCACATTTTATTTGAATTTTTTCTTTTTTTTATTTACTTCAAAAATAATTACTTTGACATATTTTCTAAATTTTTCATTTTTTGTATGTTAAATTTTAACCTTCTTTGTGATTGAAGCATTTTAATTGTATGAATTTTTTTGTTCAATATTTTAATAGAATTTTGATCTAGTGAAAAAAATAATTTAGTTCTTAATTGTAAACATTTCATCATATCTATGAAATCTAAATAAGAATTAAGATAATCAATATACCCATTTTTTAATGATAATTCAATAAAAGGATAATAATTAAAATTTTTATTTTTTCTTTGATAAATATTATAAAATACTCCTCCTAATAATCCAAATAAATGTGCTGACCATGCGACACTAAAAAAATTTCTCTTAAAAAATAGAAAAAGAAAATTTGTGAAAATAGTTAAATGACATAATTGTAATGAAGATAATTTTAAATAAGGAAAAGGAAAAATAGAAATAAACACTTCATTTGGTTTAACTGTAGACAAAATATAAATAAGTCCCATTATTGCCCCTGATGCACCCAAAATTTTATTTTTTTTATTCAAAAAAATATATGGAATAGTAGAAAGCAACGAAGATAAAACACATATATTAATTATATCCTTATCGTTAATTTTTTTTTCTAAAATATTCGATTTGTAATTAAAAAATAAATAACTTTTTTTATTTTCTTTAATTTCAGGAGATAATAATGCATTAGTTATAGTATGAAATGCCCACATATTAAATAAAAAATGTGGAAAAGTTATGTGACTAATACTAGCTGTTAAAATGGTATGATAATATTTTTTTTTAATATTATCATAAGAGCATATAAAATGTCTATTCATAAAATGATATAATTTTTTATTTTTTATTAATTCACTTAACCTCCAACTTAAAAAAACAACTCCATTAACAAGTAAAAATAAATTGCAACCATTTAAAAAAGGTTGTCTATAACAATTGTTCACAATTGTATCTTTAATATTATTTTCCTGATTCTTCATTTTATTATTTTCATTATATCCAAATATCTGATTCTTTTTATTTATCAATTCTTTTTCTATGTAATTTTCATCTCCATCTTTTCTTTTTATACGATTAATTTTAATTTCATAAGGATCTTCATTTGATTGTATTATTTTTATTTCTTTTTTTTCATTATTTCTTATTTTTTCATTTTGTATGGGTTCGCTTTTTGTATTACATCCCTTGTTAAGTATATTAACTTTATTTAAATAACTTGCCAATACTTCTTTCTTTTCATTTATATTTTTTTTTTCTTCATTAACTGAATTGCTTTCATTTTTATCTTTTAATATGTACACATGATAAATAAAATCCACACTAAAAAAGTAGATAGAACTAAAAAAAATAATCTTCAATTTTTCTTTTAATTTAATATTTTTTTCCTTTTTTATTCTATCTTTTCTCTTAAGAACATTGTTTTTTATTTTTTTTTTTTTTGTAAAATTATAAATGCACCTTTTATCATTAAAATGAAAAAAAAATTTTTTATAACTTATTTTCAAAAAGCTATGAGGTCTAAACATTTTATATTACATCTTAAAAAAACACATATAGCTTCTTTTAGAGAAAAAAATATATTTAATTTTTTTAATAAAAATAATTCTATTTATATATTACATCTTAAAAAAAAAAAAAAAAAAAAAAAAAAAAACTAACTGCTTTAAAAATATAAAATAACTTAAAGATTAATTCATAAATAGTAGGAATTAAAAAAGGAAAAAAAATGAAAAAAACAAAACTAATTTTTTTAAAGTCTCTACTTATTAAATAATATATATAACAACAATGGTATTTAAGTTTTTTTTTTTTTTTTTATACTAGAAAATATTGTAATTCATTTTTGTATAAACATTTTAAAAGAAAGTATATATAAAATTTATGTTTTTATCTCATGAATGTTATATATCATGAATTTATAAATTAAAAATATATTTAAAAATTAACAAAAATAATTTTTTTTTTTTTTTTATAACATTCAAATATGAAAAAAAAAAAATAATAAATTTTTTTTTTTGTTTATCTTTCCTATATTCTTGTTTTTTTTGTTCACAGTTTTTAATAAATTTTTTTTATTCTTTAGACCCTTAAATTTTTTTCTCTTTTTTCTTTTTAATACTAATTTATTGGAATTCTTTACTTAATTTCATTTTACAAACACATAAAAAAAAAGAAAAAAAACAAATTATGTAAATTTTTTTTTTAAAATATAAAAATTTATCTTTATATTTACATTAAGCATAATAAAATTATAGAGAAGTGTCATTAGTTCTAAAAATTCAATTAGAAACCAATAATTATAGTTATAAATAAATATTAAAATCTTTTAATTTTTATCTTTTCAATATTTTATTTTTATATTTCTAGTGTTGTTCATTATATATAAAATAATTATGTTAACAAAAAATAAAATAAAAATAAAGAAATAAATAATAAAACGTATTAAAAAAATGAAAACAAAATCCTGTACACCTTGAAAAATCATTAAAAAAATAATATTCTAAAAATATAATAATCTTTCTTCTTTTTTTTTTATTTTTTATGTCTGGATTTTTCTTATAAAATCAATAAAATGGTTTAAATACTACTTTTTCAAATTTCTTTTCTATAAATGTATGGTAAATTAAAAATATATATATATATATATATAAACAAAGTAGAATGAAAAATATAAAAATAAAATAAAAAATAATAGAATGTCATATATATATATATAAAATAAAGACATTTATATATTTATATAAAATGAATTACAAATCTACGAATGTTGCAATGAACTTTATCCAGTGGGTAATAAAAAAGTAAAAATCCTGCAAATACTTTTGATGATACTCTTAAAAAACTTTTAAGCTAAAAAAAAAAAAATAATATATATTTACGAAATAAAGTAAAAAAAAGAAAATTTAAAGTATTATTAAGAAATTCATAAAATTAAAAAATAAAAAGAAAAATTATTTTAATTAATTATTACATAATAGGAAGAGTAATCTCCAAATAAATTTCTAAAAAAACCATATTTTACATTTGGCTGAAATTCTTTAGGTAATTCAAAACCAAATTTCTTTATATCATAAGTTTTATATGGTATATTTACTTTTTTATCCATTATTAAATTAACATCAAAAAAAAAAAAAAAAAAAAAA